GCCAGCAGCGCCCACGCGCGTGGTGACCTCGAACCCGGGCCAAGAGGTAGCAACTGGTGGTGTGCACGCATTTTAAAGCAAAGCAAAACCTGCTAACGATCACGACCGAAGCTCAACTAATTCTCCTAACCTAAAGTCGATACTAACACCCAGCTAACAAAGCAAATCTCATGTCCAAAGAGCGACCGAGAGGGAGATAGGGAGGTGGCAACATGAGTTCGTCACGCTGAACGCCGGTCCGCGAACCGAGCACCGAATCAGGGTTCACAACGCGTTCAAGTGAAGTTAGGGCAATTTTAGAGCGGACAACGTGACATCCAACACAATGTCGACCTATGCCATGCTCAAGCACTCACTTTGATGCAATCAACAATACCAAAACATACAACTAGTGTTTAAACATTTTTGTTAGAAATTAAATGTCAAGATAGCATTGTCTTACTACTTTCGCATACTTAGGAAAGTTAAGGATTCAATTCAACTAACAACAATTAACACTTTTGTTACAATTTTTAAAAGGCCTAAACCCTATTAACTGCTACCAACAAGTATTTTATGCGATAGTCCATGCCTTATACTAATCCGTAGGAGCAAAATATTTAAGCATCATTTAACTATTTTACTCAATATAATTCGCCAAAAATGGTATTTTATCAATAGTTCAAGTGTTTGCCGACTTAACGAAAAGAGCTTATCTTAACGTCAAATTTGATTTTATGGGACGTCTCTTGATGAGGCACAGTCGAACTTCACGTCGATTGGGGAGGATATCGGGTCCCACTCGAATTACCCATTGACCTTGACGAGGCGCACCACTTTGACCATGTGGTTACGGTGGACGAGCCTCTCCCCGCGTGGGGCGAAAAACAGACCCACTTGTAACAAGGCATCACGATCCCTCGGGGTCAAAAAGGGCACCGGGGAAAGAGGAGTAGGGACCCCGCGGTCCCATCCAAGGACGAGGCCAAGCCACGACCAGACTCCTCCGCGTGTCCCGGGTCCACGACCCGTGGATCGCTCCGTGACCTCACAATCCGGCAGGAGTCATCAACCCCTCCGGAGAGATGTCGACGAAGCAAAACGGCCGAAAACTCGCGGCGACGCTTTCCTTCGTAAGAGCAATACATGCCCTAAGAAAGAAAAGCCGCAACCCCACCATCTGAGGTCAAGGGCGTACGAGGATCCCAGAATGGGGGAGCCGTCCTGAAAACACATCGATGACAATGGAGGGCACATTCAGGGCCAGGGCACCTGAGCTTGGGCCGTTGGCGATACCCCCACTTCGCGTGGCGGCAAACCAACGACCCACTAGGAAACCCCGACCTTGAAGTCTAGGTGCCCGCGCCCTAGCAGGCTCGGGGGCTCGCTACGATCTTTTAATAAACATCGCGACCTTCGAACAAAGGACCTTCCCTTGTTCAGGGTCGGCGATTACAAGCACGGCCGAGCCGTACACCAGATCGAAATCCTGATGACACCAATACGGTGGAAAGGTTGCAAGCTCCAAAGGCTACGATGCTAGAAGGAGGTTTGCGGGACGTCCTCTCTATCGCCGATCAAAAGCCTGGCAGAAAGGGACGCCTCGCAAACCCCGTTCAAGCATCCTCGGTCACTTCGGACGTTGGGAAGTAATGTAAGGTTGGCTGTTAAGCCTGTAACTTTATGCCTTGTTAATACCATCAAATATTAGGAGACACGGTTGGGAAATTCTTGGGCATGTGCGAGATGCAACTAGAAATGTAGAATGTGCTGGATGAAGCAGTTTGTGCCTCGCTTACTTGCTATCGCTAGGAAATAGTGACTCGTAGTCGAAGTGAGGTCTGTAACTTTGTTTCATGTAATAACGTAGTAGTACTAATATACAAAGTTAGGAGCACGGATTCGGCAGTTATGTGAATTTCCTGCTACCTTCTGTACAATTAAGGGCATTCTTTACTGATGAACAGGTATGTACCGGTTATGGTCGCAATCGCAATGTACAGTTGTGTGACTAATGCCTTGATGGCGTCGGTTCACCCGCTATTTGACTATAACCACACTGCACTGTGATATTTTCATTACTACAGTAAACACCGAAGCCATCATCGAATGGAGGGAGGAGGCCGAAGCAAAATGGGCGTGGCTAGCGTTCGGACGCTCATGCCACTGCTCCCCGTCTCGAGTCATGTGCCTGCCAACCCACGTCTCACCTGCTTTGCCCGCCCGCAAGCACGTGGGGCCCACCCGCGCCAGTGGGGTCCGCCTCAGCCTTCCGCGCCTGACACCGAGGCGAGACAACAGAAGGCGAGGAGGGAGATGCAACACTTGATATAGTTTTAAAACATCCACATGCAACAATTACAACATACGTCTGAAAATAAATGAAACATTTGAAACATGCATCTGAAACACTAACAAAAACACCTGAAACCATTATAAATATACGCAACATCTAGATAAAACACTTGTATCATATGTGTCGGAGGTATAACCCCGGGGTGTTTCAAGGCACCGATTAGTTAGCTGGCCAAGCGACCCACGATACATCAGTTAGCGAAGGCCCGAACGACCGAGGCCCAGTAAGTCAAGCAGAACTAACCTGATGCCAAGGCCAGGGTCGTCCACAACCCTTCCTCCCGCCTTAGCCGCACGACGCACAAGAGACGCATGACCTCTCCACCGCCCCAACCCCTGGGAGGAACGGGGAGAGGTCGAGCGTCGCCAAGCATGCCTGCTCTGACAAGAACAAGCACGTTACACTGACTCCGCAAGGACCGAGGGGACAGCGGTCACCTCGGTCCGGTCAGACACCACCCCTGCGCCACGCAGTCCAGACAAGACAACACCACCCAAGGCTGTGATGGCCGGTACGATGACCACCGGCTAGATACGGCCCGACAAGACGTATGTACGATCCTACCTACTATGGGATGGGATCGACGATGAGGGCCTTGACTTAGAGGCCAACCAGACCGGCGGGTGCCACGACCCCAACGATCGGGATCGTGGCCCTCAACCCCTCAAGCCAACAAAGCAATCAACGACCTGGAGGCGGCTACCAACTCTTGTACGACACCCCAGGAAACCAGGAGGCGATGACGAAGACCGCGGCGAGGACCACGTTGCACAGGACGGCTTGCGAACCACCACCGTACCTACAGTGCCACCACGGCCGACACAGTAGCACCACATCACACCATGCCGCGACGTGGCCATAAGATCATGACGACAACCATGCCCAAACGTGCTCCACAAGACGGCGTAGCTTGCAAGCCAAGTTAGCTAGGACCTCCTTCAGGCTCACAACCCTTCGGTCGGGAGAACCTTCTTCTTTGTATAAGCCCTGGCCCCGAACTCTATATAAGGGCACCCATATGGGAGATCCCATACTATTTTATTCAGTCCCCACTGTAGTAGGGCTCCTGAAGCTTTCCTTCAGGTAGTTCATCTCCTAGCTCTGGCTCTCCAATCTCTTCCACCATTCTTGCATCCCTCATTGTAAGAACTTCAGAGCATTCAAGCGAGGAACACACACTCGATCATCTCTGAGACTGGATGTAGGGCTCTGGCCTGAACCAGTATAAATCCTCGTGTCTTTTGGATGCTACCATCGTCTTCCTATAGCAGCTGCGACAATCGTATAAGTTTACTAGTCCAGTTTACAAAATACCGACAATGTGTAAAAACATATGCAACACAGATAAACACATTTGCAACATACATTACAAAAAATAGATGAAATATCGAGAATAGGAGCTTGCAACAGACATGTACAATAATTGCAACATGTGCAACATCCCGATCTACTTTTGCAATATCCGTAGGAAATACTTGTAACATACCTCTTAAACATTTGAAACACTTGAGACATACGCTTGCAACATGCGTTTTCATCCTTCTTCCATACGACGCAGCGCAGAGCGAGACGGACGGTTCCGGCTAGCCGACAGCCGAGGATGGTGGCGTGGCCTGGCAGCGGCTAGTTGCGCCTGCGCCTAGCTTGGGCTTGGCCAGCGACGACCACTCTCCTAGTCGCCTGGCCTGGGCGCGCCGAAAGACGGAGCACGGCGGGGGACAGAAGCGCTGCTGCACTCGCCGAGCACATGCATGGAGCTTGGAGGCGGAGGGCAAGGTGATGGCGACCAGGTCCGGCGGTAGCTGTAGTCGGTGGAGCAGCTGACAGCGTAACTCACGTGGAGGATTCGTCCTCTCCACAGGAGACGGAGGTGCCACGGGGATGCGGGGCGCCATGGGGGATGGCAGCGGCAGCACGCCAGAGTGGGTGACAACACGGGATGGAGGCGGCGACACGGCGGATTGGGATGGTCGGACATCCGCATGACACCGTGAAGCCGTGACGCACCAGTTCGGAGTGGAGAGACAAGCTTACGTGGGGATTTGAATTTTTTTTTTTCTTTTTAGGCAAGCGACGCATGCGGTAGTGAGTGAAGCGAGACGTCCGACCTTCCGAACGTCTTAATGGTAACATTACCGAAGCAAAATTTAAGCAAAATTTTCTAGGGCCAGCCAAATGTTAGCCAAGAACCAAAGAGCAGCCAAATTACTAAGGCAGACCCAAATTTGTCATGGCCATCTTTGGCCTGTAACCAAACGTGCCCTTGGTTTCCGCCCGTTTTTCAGCAGAGCCGTTCCCCCACGAACGGTAACAGAAGAAAAGGCTCCATCACCTAGGACATCGCACAGCTTTATCCAATGCAAGACATATATACACCACATATCAGCATATCACTGAGCCGCATAAATCTATTTCTCATGCAAGAATTTTTTTACCACATACCAGTACCACTGAGAAATATGCATCTTGCATGCTAAAAATGAGCAGAGTTGTACTAGAATGTGTAATTCAGGAGGGGTCACAATCCCTATAAAAGTCTAAACCACTTTGACCTGCTAAGTTAGATCCTACTGTCAACTGACAAACTACTCCATCTCAAGGCTGCTGAGCTACAACAACAGTGAAGATTCTCAGTTTCCATTTACACCAGGGCCTCAGAAGCAGATTAGCGTGTGCCATCGTCGTGATCATTGTCATTGTCACCTTCATAGTATTCATCATCACGGTGAATCTGCTTGTCTTGGGTATGCTCTGGAGGATAACACATTACAAAGTTACGTATGAACAAAGGACAGAGTTATGCATAAGACAACGTAACTATGCGAATTGTTATAAAAAAACGTAACTATGCAGAATGGTTGCCAGAGATAAAAGGACAAATCGAGAGAGCATTTGCCATGCACATGAATCTAGACGACTCTTGACCCCTAGACAAATCATTAATTCGTAATTCGTTTAAATAAACAACACAGAGCATGCCAGAAATCTTTCACTTACGGTCAACACGTTCATCAGGATCCAATTCATCTTCGTCAAAATCCGGGATATAAAAATCGGGAGGAACCTGCAAATGATTTATTTATGACCCCTCCAGAATAAAATGCCTTGATTGAAGCAAAAAAAAAAGTGAAAAAGCATACTTGAGTGTTCTGATACTGCCCATGTTTTTATACATAACCATTTTCACTTGGGAGGTTTCATCATGCAAGTGCCAATGTATATATTCAACAACCGAGCAGAGAAAGCCTAACCTCTTGCATTTGAACACCAGGAGCATGCTGTATGGACCGCAAACTCTCCATCACTTGCACTTTGATTGAACTGAGATATGTCTTACTGTTCAAATTGTCCTGCTCCAATTGAACAATAGGTAAGAAGTCATAAATCATTGTCAATCTTCAAGAAACATATGAAAGTTTCAGGCTTCTAGTAACACTAAATTGATTAACAAATTTTGTTTTTGAGGCAATGATTAACAAATTGTAGTTGAGCCACAGTTCAATATTTCAAATGCTACTTTATATAAAGAAACACACACACACACCAGGTATAGGGTTAATAAAGGCCAACAGGGAGATGTTTCTTTACCATGTTCAAATTTGGAACTTTCAATGTATAATCTGGAGCAAAGTACTCGATGTATTCATTGTTTGGAATCTCTGCACAGAAAATGCCAAAGTCAAACTCCCTAGCATAGAAACTATACAAAGAATTATCAGAAAATTTCAACCCCATATGATGATATGAACAGAAGGAACATGAGAAATTTTACAAGTAGCAAAGATAACTAGGCTACTAGCTGCTTCACCCAAAAACAAGACAAAGAAGAAAGATAAATACAAAGCTGAAAATGAATAAATGAGATACCATTGGGGAGTTCTGTGTCTAAAAGGACCCCAGTTTCAACAGCCCAACACCTTGCTACATTCTCCTTGGTGTATCCACCACCTCCAGTTACCTGAATGATGGGAAAATACAGTGGTAGCCTATTAAAGCCAGATAGAGAGAAATAACACATAATAGTAACGTCCCTTACCAGAAGAGGAATATTGAATTTCTTGACAAACTTTACACATTCAGCATGGCCTGTTCATGAAAACAGATAGGGCATGTAAGCAGTTAAGCACTAATAGAAAATTGAAGTAGGCTTAGCCTATGGAAGCTAGGTGAATAGCCCAAAGGAACTATAACTAAGGACATGAGCCCGCCCCACACACACACACAAACAAAAGAAAGGAAAAAAAGAAGACACTATAGCAGCTGATCTAAGCATACAAAACTGGAAAACTCTTGCCGATTCTATGTGTGTGTGTGTATATGTTAAAAACTGTAGAACCTTCAATGGAGAGGTTGAAGCAGCCTAGACGGTCCCTCGCCAATGAATCAGCCCCACATTGAAGAACAATAGCACCAGGCAGATATGTCTCAACAACTTTGGCAATAATCTGCATGATAAACTCAGATAACATGACAGGACTAAAAAAATGACAAAATAATAAAAAATGATGCAGTGCAGGGAGTTTACTGTTTTAAAAAGTCGAGTAAAGCTAGCGTCATCTATCCCATCTTTAAGTGGAATGTTGATGGCATAATATTTTCCTTCCCTTTCTCCTATATCCTTCAGTAGCAGCAAGGTAAATCAGCATGAAGAGCACATCCATTGAAACAGAATCTATAATTCTATATAACAATATCAAAGGTCTCATCATTACTCAACAGCATGTGGCATGCATCTATTTAAACTTTAAAGTTAAATAGAATGGGTTTGGGAACTGTTTCCAAATCCCAACATGTTCATAAAAAGAAAGGCACGAGTTTTCTGATCATACTGAACCTTAATCATTCCCTGTTTTTGGAACCAAATATAGTTGTACAAAGGTATGAGAATTACACCACACCCATTGTTGCGCGGGGGGCAGGGGCGGTGGGGGGGTGCTGGGTTTGCATATGTAGCCATGATCAACCTGTGGTACAATACAAGGAAGCTAGGCTATACATGGATAGCTATCCTATACAATTGATCCTAATGGATCCTTTCCTAATACCCGCCCGCAGAGCAGTAGGATCACGGACACACAGACTGGTCCAAAAGTCAGTGAACAACTGTACAGGAAGACCCTTGGTCATGATATCAGCGAACTGGTGCACCGAGAGAACATGGAGGACGCGAACCTGTCCCAATGCCACCTTCTCATGAACAAAGTGGATGTTGATCTCGATATGCTTGGTGCGACAGTGGTGGGGATGGGGTTAGCGGTCATATAGATGGCGCTAACATTGTCGCAGTAGACCACTGTGGCCAAGGGTACCGAGATGTGAAATTCCTGAAGAAGCTGCCGCACACAGCAACGGCACGGTATTCTGCCTCAGCACAGGACCGTGGTTTGGTGTTTGGAGGACGAAGACACCAGATTCTCACCGAGGAAGAAGCAAAAGCCGGAGGTGGAGCGGGGAGTGTCGGGGCAGCCCGCCCAGTCAGCATCGGAGTAGGCTGTGATCTGGTCCACCCCAGGTGAAGCCCGACGGAGAGTGACCCCTTCACATATCGCAGGATGCACTTGATCAGTGCTAGATGCAGCTCACGCAGGTCATGCATGAACAAGCAAACCTGCTAAACAGCATAGGCCAAGTCAGGTCTGGAGGGCGCTGGCGAGGCTCCGGTATTCGGAGGGATCGGCGACGGGGGCGCCCTTAGTAGCGGACAGCTTGGTCCATGCATCTGCCGGCGTGGCAGTGGGGCGACACTCAGACATGCTAGCCTGCTGGAGGAGGTCGACTGCCTACTGATGCTGGGACAGGAACAGGCCGAAGTGGTCCCGTGTCACAGCGATCCCGAGGAAGTGGTGGAGGTCGCCGAGATCTGTCATGGCAAACTCCGAGTGGAGGCGTGCCGTGACGTGCCGGAGTAGCTCAATGGAATGAGGATGATGTCGTCGATGTAGCGTAGCAAAAAACTGACGCGGTCTCCCATCTTCGTACACAAAGAGAGAGGCATGCTGATGTAGTTGGCGAAGCGCTGGTTCCAAGCTCGGGGCGCCTGCTTGAGTCCGTAAAGGGACTTCTACAGGCAGACGTAGTCGGGAGTAGCCGGGTCGACGAAGCCCGGATGGCTGGTGACAGTAGACCATCTCCTCGAGGTGACCGTGGAGGAAGGCATTCTTCACATCTAGCTAGTGTGAATGGGCTAGTCACTCAAGGCGGCGATGCTGAGGACGGTGCGGATCGTCACCGGCTTGACAACCGGGCTGAAGGTCTCATCGTATTCCGCCACCATCGCAGCACGCAGTTGGGGTCGGCAAGGGCGATGCGATAGTTGGTCGGAATCGGCGAGGCTGTCATGGCGGAGAAGCCGAAGCGGTTGACCGGACGCAGGCTGCCTGTCTATGACCGTGTCACCAGGAGCGAGGGCGGATGCTAACGGCGGCAAATCCGAGGAGGATCCGGGAGCAGAAGGTGCAGGCGACGCAGGCGGATCATCACCGGGAGCCGTGCCTGTCCTTGCCAAAAACGGAAACTACCGTGGGAGCATAAAATGACCCCCAGAAGCTGCAGGAGCGTGTCATCTGATGCCGTAGATCAGAAGAATTGTCATCCCAAACTGGAGGAAGGATTAAGCAAGGTGGGCGGAAGGAGAAGAATTTCGGATGAGACGGGCTCTGGCATTAGGATGAAGTTGAGCAAAGGGATACACGTTCTCATCAAACACAACGTCATGTGAGATATAAACGCGACCTTCAGCGACATCCAGACACTTGAACCCTTTGTGCATATTGCTATAGCCTAAAAACACGCATTGCTTGGAACGGAATTGAAGCCTTCAAGAATTGTAGGGCCGAAGGTTAGGCCAACATGCACAACCAAAGGTAGGAAGAGTCGAGTAGTCTGGTGTTTGATGAAACAGGCGCTCTAGAGGGGTTTGGCCATGGATGACTTTGTTGGGGAGGCGGTTTATGAGATAAGTAGCGGTGATGAAGGCTTCATCCCAAAATTTAAGGGGCATGGAGCCATGAGCAAGTAGCGACAAGCCTAATACAATAATATGGCGATGTTTGCGTTCAGCCGAGCCATTTTGTTGATGAGCACAGGGACAAGAAACATGGTGAGAGATCCCAATGAGTTGAAAGAAAGCATTCAACTTTTGATACTCCGCTCCCCAATCGGTTTGAATAGCTAGAATTTTCTTATCAAACTGGCGTTCAACCATGTTTTGAAACTCATGGAATTTTTGGAAAACCTCATATTTGTGGCACAGCAAAAACATCCACGTGTATTTGCTAAAATCATCAATGAAGCTAACATAAAAACTATTCTTACCAACAGAGGTGGGCGTTGGATCCCATACATCAGGAAAAACAAGTTCTAGAGCACTAGATGAAACACTTGTTGATTTCGGATAGGGCAGCCGGTGATTCTTGCCTTTCTGACAAGCATCACACACAGTATCTTTATTCGACTTAGAAACAAAAGGAATGTGATTTTTTCTAAGGACTTGCTGAACTACTGCAAATGACGGTTGAGCAAGCCAGCTATGCCACATTCCTTCTACGGATAGAGGCCTTTTTCAACGGATAGAGGCCTTTTTCACAGTTCCCTCTAAGAAGAGTTCTCTTCGTTGCCTGGTCCTTAATCACAAAATAATTTGGATGATATTCAATAAAGGCATGATTATCAGATGTAAGATGATGAACAGAGACAAGATTTTTGCTAGCTTCAGGAACATAGAGGACATTGTTTAGAACAAAATTTTGTTTTGGGGGTACGAACAAAACTTCGACCAATTTGGTTGATTCCCATACCTGCGCCGTTGGCGGTGTGCACCTGATCGGTGCCATGGTACTTGTCTCTCATGGTGAGCTTCTCTAGTTGGCCGGTGATGTGATCGGTAGCACCGGTATCGGTGTACCAATTTGTGTCGAAGTCGTAGGAGATGGTGACGCCCGAAACAGATCGCTGCTCCAGAGGTCCAGTGAAGGATGCGTCGAAACGCTTGTAGCAATGCAACACAGTGTGGCCCTCTTTGCCGCAAAACTGGCAAGTGGGGTGATCGATGTTGGAGGAGTTCTGCTGAGGACGACCGCCATTGCCGCGGTTGTTGCCCCCACGACCACCACGGGTGGCCGAAGACCCAGAGCCACCATGTAGCAGATCCATCCGCTGCTCCCAACTCACCAGTTGGGTGCAGAGTTCGCCAAGGGACAGCGGCTCCACACGCGCTGCCATGGCGGAGACGATGGGGTTGAAGTCCATGTCGAGGCCGGGGAGGATGTAGGAGGCGATCTCTTCATCCTCCATTTTCTTGTCTGCAGACGCCAATGTCACCCACAAGGGATTTCATCTTGCTAAAGAACTCGGCGATGGAGGAGCCTTTCTGCGCAGTGGCCAGAGCCATGCGTGTGTTAATGACGCGTCCGCGAGATTGGGACGCCGTCATATCTTGGATGGCCTTCCAAACTTCGGCGGCAGTGGTACAGGTAGCGACCTACACCAAGATCTCCTTGGAGATGGAGGACAGCACGTAGTTGAGGATCTACTGATCCTTGGTGACCCAGGTGTCATAGTCTGGGTTGGGGATGAGATCCGTCGGCTTATCAGCAGACTTCAGGATCTCCTTTGGTGGAACCAGCGTGTCGGCATTGATGAAATGCGCGACATGGGCACCGTGCACGGCAGACATCACCTGCGCTTTCCACAACAGGAAGTTGTTCTTCGCGAGCTTCTCGGTGACTAGGCAGCCGATTGAGAGAGCAGCACCAGGTGCGGAAGGAGAAGCCATGAACAAGGTTGTGAAGGAACCTAGCTCTGATTACCATGTGAAAATGGTTGTAACCTGATGCCTTCTCAGGCTCATGGCTCCGTGTTATATAGTCTAGGAAAAACCCTTAGCGTGGCAGTACATCTTGGAGTATAAGACAAAAAAGATTTACATGGACAGAAAGATATCAATCGATCAATCTACTTACAATACAAGGAAACAACAAATATGGAGCCATACCTACATTGCCTCCCTGTACTGTAGGTAGATTGATTGATCACTGATTGATCACACATCTTTGTTCCTTTGTAAGTCTTTCTTGACTTGTACACTAAGTTGTATGTGCCACGCTAGGGGCTTTTCCTAGCCTATATAACATGGAGCCGTGAGCCTGAGAGGGCATCACATTACACCCATTTTCACATGGTAATCAAAGCTAGGTTTCTCCACAATCTCGTCCATGGCTTCTTTCGCTATTGGTCCTGCGCTCTCCATTGGGTGTCTGTCACCGAGAAGCTCGCGAAGAACAACTAACCGCTTTGGAAGGTGCAGGTCATGTCGGCCCTGCGCGGTGCGTAAGTCACGCATTACCTCAACCCTGACGCACCAGTGCCGCCGAAGGAGATTGCCAAGTTGGCTGACAAGCCAACCAACCTGGTTCCCGACCAAGGCTTTGAGGCCTGGGTTGCAAAGGATCAACAAATCCTCAATTACCTAAATTTTGTTGCAGGTGGCCGCATGTTCCACCGCCGCCGAAGTGTGGATGGTCATTCAGGACATGTCGGCGTCCCAATCTCATGGGCGCGTCATCAACACGTGCATGGCGTTGGCCACTGCGTAGAAGGGCTCCTCCACCATCGCTGAGTTCTTCAGTCACATGAAATCTCTTGCAGATGACATGGCGGTTGCACGAAAGAAGTTGGAGGATGAGATCGCCTCCTACATCCTCACCGGCCTCGACATGGACTTCAACCCTATTGTCTCTACCATGGTAGCGCGTGTGGAGCCGCTAACCTTGGGGGAACTCTACATCCAACTCGTTAGTTGGGAGCAACGAATGGATCTGTTGCACAAATTCGGCCATCCGCGGTGGCCATGGAGGCAACACCCGTGGCAGCTGCCGGGGCAACGGAGGTCGTCATCAGCCCAACCAGAATGTCAACACCGACCACCCCACCTGTCAGCTGTGCGACAAGGAGGGCCACACGGTTCTGCGCTGCTTCAAGCGCTTCGACGCGTCCTTCACTGGACAGCCAGAGCACCGCTCGGCATCGACGACTACCTCCTACGGCATCGACACAAATTGGTACACCGATACTGGTGCGACCAATCACATCACCAGCAAGCTGGATAAACTCACTGAGGGAAGAGTATCATGGCACCGGTCAGGTGCACACCGCCAATTGCGCCGGTGTGAGAATCGACCAAATTGGTCGAAGTTTTGTTCGTACCCCAAATAGAGATCTTGTCCTCAATAATGTTCTTTATGTGCCCGAAGCTAGCAAAAATCTTGCCTCTGTCCATCGACTCACTTCTGACATCATGCATTCATGGAATTTCATCCAAATTATTTTTTGATTAAGGATCAGGCAACGAAGAAAATTCTTCTTAGAGGAAACTACGAAGGTGGTCTCTACCCGTTGAAGTCTAGGTCTTCCCCGAATAAAGTGACATGTGGCGCCATCAAGTCCTCGGCTTGATGGCACAGCCGTCTCGGTCATCCCTCCTTTGTAGTAGTTGAGCAGGTCCTTAGCATAAACAATATTCCCTTTGTTTCAAAGTCGAATAAAGATGTAGTTTGTGCTAATCATCAGCTTCCCTATTCTAAGCCAACAAGTGTTTCATCTAGTCCCCTTGAACTGATGTATGGAGACCCGCTCCCACCTCTGTTAGCAAGAACAATTTTTATGTTAGCTTCATTGATGATTTTAGTAAATTTACTTGGATTTACTTGCTGCGCCACAAATCTGAAGTTCTCCAAAAAATTCATGAATTCCAAAGCATGGTTGAAAGGCAATTTGATAAAAAGATTTTAGCGATGCAAAACGATTGAGGAGGTGAATATCACAGCGCGGGAGGCCTCGTTCACCTGGAAGAGGACTGTGATTGCCGTCCACAGCATATCACTTATAAAATGTAACGCGTATATAGGCAGGATGCCGTAGGGTTTGGCTTATAGATGGATCAACCAACCAACGGTGATCCTTGCCTATCCATCAATCATACAAGGAGGCGCACGGGCTCTAGGCCCAGTGCAGCACAAGACCATGTGGCCCAAAGGGCCATACTAGTTACCTGTCTAACATAAAGGTATAGCGTAGTCTCAATGCCTGCATTTGTGACACTGACAGAAAGCTAATAGAAATTAAATGGAGGTGAAATACATTAAATTTTCATGACGGTTGTGAGTTGAACCTTACCTTAATATCACCCGTTCCAGGAAAGAACAGATCACCATACTTGTGGAAACTCACAGTCATTACCCTGCAAAACGTTAAAGAGAAAAAGTTAAGAAATCTGAAGCACCTTGAAGACACTCAGTAATTAACACACTACAGTGAGGCAGACCAACGAACAACAAAAAAATGATGAAGCCATGGGCTAGATTGGAAATTCGTCAAGACAACAACAATAACAAAAAGATAGCTATAGAAATTAAAGTAAATAATCTTTTAGTGGCAAAGCATGAACCTGTCAGTGAAATAAAAGGCTTCTTCAACTCCATCTCCATGATGGACATCAATGTCAATATAAAGAACCCTGGCATGGTACTTGAGAAGCTCCAGAATTCCTAATACAAGATCATTAATGTAACAGAAGCCTGACGCCTCACACTTTTTGGCATGATGCAGCCCACCAGCCCAATTAATGGCGATGTCACATGTTTTATGATTTAATCTGCGAGCAGCATCTAAAAAGAATATAAAGAACAGCTTAGAGAGTTCGTAAAATCAAAAGAAGCCTAAGACCCTCAGAGATTTTAACATTACCTAAAGTTCCTCCAGCATAGATTTGGCAGAACTCAAACAAATTATCAAAGACCGGACAGTCTTCTCCAAGATTGTCTGAGAACAGAGAAAAAACAAACTCAGATAAATTAAGTCAGAAAACCAAAAAAGGCTGTGGGCGGGATCGATAGAGATTTTAATTGGTGTCAGATAGGCATATTATGGAAGATATAAACCGGATTGTTTTCATTTAATTGGAAATAGCTAATCTTACATTTGTTGTATGCAACAAAAGACTAAAATATATAGTGTGACAATCACTTCTTTCTATTCTTTTAACACATGAAGACCTAAGCAAAATATAAGTGTAGTAACACCTTAGATCTAATTAACAAGAATAAATAAAGGTATAAGAATGAAACATGAGCAAGTTATGTGACATGTATTTCACTGTGAAATTAGCAGTCTGGGAGAATAGTTTGAAAAAGAGAAAACTTCAGCATCCATACATCTGGTTAATTCACTTGCATATAGGTGCTGGGTGTCAGGAGTTATCCGGTGCAAGAATTCCACATAATCAGCAGAATGGAACTGGGCAAGCTCTATTGGATAAGCTTTGTGTGGTCTCTGCAGAATCCATTGGTTGCAAAAATAACATTAAACATTACAGTCTTCACGGGTCCAAAGAAAATGAATAGATGATATTCAATACTGACATATATCTCCATCTTTTTATGAAGTCCATACGAAAGAACAAGGTGATGTGTCATACAGAGACGATGAGGCTTCATGGGGTGATTTGGCCCAAAGTAGACATTGCCAACATCTCCTAAAATGGGTGTGGCAAAAGAAATTGTTAAGCCAGCAATCACAAATTCAAACATTTGTTTTGAAAGACGCAGGAGCTCTGGAACTTTACGAAATTGAACAAATAAAATAGTTTACATATTAAAAAAAAATGGATGGAACTATGTTTTCATTTTCTAGAACGTGGATAACAACAGTCTATATGCAGAGAGCGCAAAGACAATGAATTTTGCAAGAATCTAACCAAATGGAATTTTGCAGCTACAATTCTACAAGACTACAACTATAGCTAAATGTAGCTTGCCTTGACTATAACCTCACAAATAGCATTTAGGGTGCAATGAATTCCATTCAAATCTTGATCCAAGAGATACTTGCACCTATGTTATCTGACTCGGGACAAAGCACAAATCCTACTATAACGAACCTAAGCTAAACTATAAGAAACCTAGCACCAGGGCTTGTGATTTGTGAATACCAATTCAAATCAGCCCCAATTCAAATCGAGCAAGTCCTGGAAGTAATACCTCCGGCAATTTCTCCTAGCTAAAATAGCCCAAAATCCAGCTGAGCAAAAGGCGATTGCCATGAGCATTGATCACGTCTGACCACTTGAAATCAGCGAAACAAAAGGAAACTGCTCATCCCCGTAGAATCTCCACTTTAGTGCTTAAAGCCATGCGCAGTGCGCTATGGAACACCGAAGTCCGAAGTGGAGTAATAATAAGAACTAAGAACAGCAAGTTGCGACTATGGCGAGAGCTAGGGCTTTGCAGCGAAGGGTGAGAGCGGAGAGGAGAAGAGGGAGCGCGGTGAATGTACCGTCGTAGAAGTAGGATATCCGGTCTTTCTCCAGCATCGCTTCACTCCTGACAACCGCGGCAGCGGGAGCAGAGAAAATCAAGGTCGTCCAGGGAAACGGAGCCCGGACCGGACCTAGCGCCGGCGGCGGCGGCGGAAGGAGGTGTGGCGGCGCGGTCGTGCACGAGCACAAGGAAGGGGAGAGAGCCGCCGTCAAGGTCCAAACGAGACGGAAGCGGAAGAGTCTTTGGGTGGGGCATGGGGAACGCTCTGGATCGGGTTGGACGCCGTGGATCAAGCGACCATAAGATCGAACGGTGTGTATTGTCCCCCACTAATGTAAGGTAGCCAGAGCCCGGAGGCGCCTCTTTTCATCCTCTCCAGGTTAAATTCGCTCCCCTGGTGCTCCACTAGCCTCCGGCGAACAGCCGGTAGTTGAGAAAATTTATCTGTGCATATTTTAATTTTAGTCCCATCATCCCTTGGGTGAACAAATTACTTTTAAAAGTATAACAGGTTTGGTAACTGATAAGGTATGAAGTGGTTAATGGTAAGAATTTTAAAGACACTGGTTCCGATCTCTGTCTTTTATCTTTCTCACATTGTTAAATCAGTCTTTGCCCTAACCTTGTATATTTGTATACAGAATGAAACTAGCACAACATGCCTGCAAATCAAGTACAAATGTCCTAATGTTTCAAATATGCTCATATTTAACAGGACAGGCCAATAGGATGTCCTGTATATTCTCTAGTATTCTCAACGCAATATTCATTGGCATGTCTGCATTACTCTGGTCATCATGCCATTTTGAATTACCATTTGTCCCTTTGTAGAATGTAATCGGGGGCACCATGCAGAAACATTATCAGTTCCTTGTTAGCAATGTTATCTGGAAACTTCAATATGGATATGGTATAGGTTCAGAATTTTCATTATTAGATAAATTAAACACAGGAGTTATCGATGCTAATTGCTCCACTACATTGTGGTATCCAAATCTGATGCACCATTGTACTTCTTACTACAACACTCACATATATTTTGTTGAAAATCTCTGCTTCTGTCATATAATTTGATGAACCTGGCCTTGGTGTTTGGGTCTACCTCTGGCTGCAAGCTTTGTCTTTTTTTACTTGTTCTGCGATTCTCTGGTTTTGTTGAAACTTGAAACAAGGAAGCATGAGTGCATGCGCATGGGCTGCATAGGAACATTGCTAGACATGATTTCTGTTCACGGCAGATACACATGATACCTATTGTACCTATGACATCTCCTGAATGTAGGGTAGTGCACATTATCGCATTATGCGACCTCATTAGCCTTCATGAGCGCCATTGTATTTACGTTGAAGCTTGAACAGAAATGTTGAAGCTTGAACAGAAATGTTGATATCATGGACATCTGTTTTTCAGGATCTGACTGGCAAGCAGACTATCATTGTAAGTGGCCACCACGGGAAGCTCCACATCGACGGCCTCCGATTCATAATAGATGAAGGCGGTGGTTATGAAGACAAACCTATTGCTGCTATCGTTTTTCCTTCAAAGACATTGATCAGAAGTACCGAGGAAGCGGGAACCACATCACAGAGCTGATCTAGATATCGTCAGGAGCATTGAACACGGAGGTGCAGTTTTTCTTCCTTGTAATTACTGCTTGTAGCCATCTACTCATGTATCAATATTAAACGACAATAGGAACAACGTCGAAAGGAAATAAGTTGGTGAATCAGACCTGCGTCTCCGCATGTTTAGTCACTAGTGTGAAGTGTAACTATTTGATACTGTCAACTGGGATGAGACTGTACATCCTATATTTTAGGGCAATAAACTTTACATCTTTGTCAGTTGTGAGTTTTTTTTTGAAAGGATTGTCAGTTGTGAGTTGCGTGAATTTGTGACCTGGCTGCCTGTGTGCATTCGAGATTTCCACAACGGAGAGATTTCCACAACGAGTTGAGTTGTGTGAGTTTGAAAGTACGTAATTTGCTAGAAGTATAAGTATGGAACACAAGCGCCAAAACATGATATAATATTGGTTGCTTCTATTATATAGCTGCAGAACTGAATTAATAACTGTATCCATCAACTGGAGATCAGAGAACTCTAAAAGTCAACAAAAAGAAACGTACTTCTGAAACACAGGCAATAAATTGGGGGGGTGGGGGGAATAGTCCTTGTGACGCGGCAGGTGGTCGGAGTAAGTAGTCGGAGCGACGTCGTCCTTATGCCATATTGGTAGGCAGATCAGATACGGAGAGATCATTGTCGTAGCCACGTTCAATTTAATCGGAGAAGCGATGCTGCATGGCACTTTGATAGATAACCCAGCAGAGTAATAGTAGGTCGGACCATATTGGCCGTGCAAAATTCGGAGCCCACAAACATGCGGAGTCGTGACGTAGCCAGATGGAGTCCACTGCGTAGAGAGATATACACGCGGACGTTTGCATGCTTGACAGATGCATCCGTGCATGTTAATTAGCTTGCATGATCCTGTAGATCCAATAATTCACCGTGAGCTTCACGGTAAGCCGTAAGGCAAACACGTGATGACGACGCCTTGCCGGTTTGCCTTGCATATGATTGAACCAAGTGGTTCTGGGCAACTTGGTGCATGACCGCGTCATGTCCAATCGAAGTCCGTGGATGCGGCCTCCAACGCTGAACCGCAGAAGTCAACTGCGGATTGTCACGACGAAGGCTGCCACGGGATGGCGATGAGCCGGCGACGCTTGTCGACTGCGCGGGATGACAACGTCAAGAGACGTAGCCGAATTCCTGCCAGCAGTATTCACGCAGACATACGTAGATATACCCGGAGATGTACATGTATCGTAGGATATGTTAATTGAAAGTAAAAAATCACTTAGCTTTTCATGTATAACATCCAGGTGCTCGGATCGATGCAAGCCTTCGGCCATGATACGAAAGGATTGGATCAACTAGATGCAACTTCCTACGCGGATACGTTTCGACCTTGCTGTCCCGGTCAAGATCCGTCGGCCATCCAACACACACAGAAAGTACGGGGCCACCGCCGCACGCCCAAAGCGTTGTTGGGCGTTGCGTTTGGCACCGGGGCTTGAACGTCGTAGTCCGCCGAAGAACGTCGCCGCGAGAACCGGGGTTGCCGTTGTTGGTGAAGAAAATTCCATTAGTTCGCCATGGGATCAGTACGCACAGCCTCTGTCTGGCGCGCCAACTGCCAATAAAAGATGCTCGGCTGTTATCCGAGGGGTATCCCACAAAGATAGATTGATCGGTGGAAGTGCGCATAATCAGGAACCGGATGGTGACACAACGCGTAGAGACAACGATTTAGATAGATTCGGACCGTCGTCCTGTGTCTTTGTGTATTGCATGAAATGTATGTCGATGACTAGGGGACCCCTGCATCTCCTTATATACTCTGGAGGGGTAGGATTATAAGGAAAGTATCTTATTTAGTACTATACAATATCTTGCGGTGCACGTCGATCAGTACCGTACATGTTTTAATCTTGTGGGCTGAACCACCTCTAATGATGCGAGCATGTCTTGTCATGGTACCGGGGGCCATACCCCCACACACTACTGGAATCTCGCTTTTTTCTGTGTGTGCGAAAACACACAGAAAAATGCGAATACCATCAGAAAAGTGTACCCTCAGAAAAATACCCACAGAAATATAACGACAGAAAAATTCAATTGTTCTGTGTGTTCGCGTCAGAAATAATTTTTCTGTGGATGTTACACGCACAGAAAAATTACGTTAGCCCAGATTAAATTTAAATGTTGTGTGCGTTAATCCTCACAGAAAAAAAGAACAGCCCGACAAAAAAATGATTTTTCTGTGGGTGTTACACGCACAGAAAAATTACCTTAGCCCAGATAAAATTTAAATGTTGTGTGCGTTAATCCCCACAGAAAAAGGAAAAGCCCGACAGAAAAATGATTTTTCTGTCGATATTGTCCCAATAGAGCCATAGAGGCACACTCACAGAAAAATTTTTATTTTTCTATCGGTCTCGGTTAACGCACAAAATAAGGGTGGTCTAACAATGCATCCAGCATTCAAATTTCATATATCAGACTACTTAATATCAAAACATATAATCGAACTGCGTTAAAGATTGATCGCAGTTTCTCAACAACAAATGTGTTTAACCACACCATTGAAGGTGATTATGCTATAACAGAGCAGCTCAATACAGCCAGGGAAAAGAAAGAAAGCCCATTAGCGCACACTATTGTATGAGTCGTGTAAGTACAGCTCCAGTTCTTCTGGCCAGGTAGACAGGTTCAATCTCCTACCATTACCCATGAATCTAAAAGTCACAAGGCTTCAAATTAGATAGAAGCTAGAAGCAAGCTCATCATTCCAAAAACTAATAATTTATTTACTAAAACAAAGAATAAATTCTCAGCATGAACAAGGAATGAAAGCATGAATTATCAGCAGGAAATTCAACAGCTGAAATTAGTAAGTGTTTTTGCTACAGACATCAAGTATGAAGTCATCACTTTGCAAATGATGTGTGGGCAGGCTTGAGTCCTAAAGTTTATGGTCTCCAATGGCAAACTAGTGACCAAAAATGGCTATAGATGTATAGGAACCACATCAATTCATCTTGGATACGCATAAGCTACGTGTTTCAACACAAGCAAAAGATGGCATCATCATGCGAAGACCACGATGATGCAGTCAAGGTAATATTGACACCATACCCAAAAAACAGAAAACAATGTGACGATAGTTAAACGGATGATAATACCTACGGTATGGGAAAACATAGAGGCAGCCATCATCTTCTCCTCCCGGCAGCAGCAGCAGGTGCCCGTTCTGCTCCAGGTTGGCCCTACCCTGCAGCTTCCTTTGGTATGTTGGCCGCTGCCGTAACAGCATTCATGACAATAAGACCAAGCGGAATGATGTACATCCACTGCAAAACAAACAAGTCAGACTGAAGGAACATGCATACACACACACACAAACACGAAGATATTGAACGACATATGCCGCTGCAAAAAAGTTGATCACTAAATACAAAAGAAAAGAACTTACTTTGGTGC